CACCTTTCCTGAACCCTTGGTCAGTCACATCAACTCGGCAAATGAAATTGTCCGACATTTGATGACATGCCCAATCAAGCTGAAAATACACAGCATTGAGGAGAGTCGCCTTCGGAACATCCTCATTGCTGATAGTGCTTTTGATACTTCAGGGCAAGAGAAAAGTCAGCATGGATGGATCCTTGGTTACACGACTCCCGAGATGAACCAGGGAGTCAAAAGTCCGGTCTCCATCATGCAATGGAGAAGCAAAAGGCTCAGACGCAAAGCAGCATCTTCCCTGCTTTGTGAAGCAATCTCCATGTCAGCGGCAACTGCTGCCTTGGAAAGGCAGGATGCCTTCATGTCGAGCATCCGCTTTGCAAACTACTGCCCACGAAGCAGACAGCGCAATGAAGACGACTACCTTGCGCTGGCAGGGAAGAACACGGTGATTGCCACCGAGAGCAGCGGCTACAGGGATCCGCATTCCCTGATAGTCATGGATGCAAAGGAGCTCTATGACGCCCTTCAGAGCGACCAACCACAAGGTCAAGACGAACGAGCCACCCTGGAGATAGCAATCATCAAAGAATCCATGATTGTGGTTCGAGCAAGGCCACGTTGGATACCACACAATTTGAACCCAACGGATGGCTTGACAAAGATGGTTGGCGCCCACATGGAGCCGATGTTGAAGTTGCTCCAAAGCAATGAGTTCTGCATTGAGCAAGAAGAAGCAGTCCTCGAACGCGGGAAGCAGGGTGCTCACCGTTTGAAGTTAGGCACCAAGAATCATGGAAACGATCAGTTCTTGGGGCTGACGAACCGTAATAAGCAGTCTAGAAGACTCTAAGCACCTTTCCATGATTCTGGGCAGATCTCACTCCCTCACAGGCGCCTTGGGCTCAGGTAAAACAGAAGCGTTTCGTGACTGCTGTTCGCATGCAGTGTTTTCCATAGTGTTTAGATTGTTTGCCACATTCTTGAGCTGCTGTTTGTGAAACACCTGCACAAAGCTTGCACAGGGCACAGGTGCACAAAAGATCAACATGGGGATGATCAATCAGCCTATATAATATATAGAATTATACACCGCTCCAATCCTGATGCCCCACCAGAGCACTCTCGGTTCATTTGTTCCCAAGGCATCTCTGCATGCGCTAAAGGAGTGCATCCGCCACTTCACCAGCAACAGCTCGGTGCCTTCCCACTTATTGCGCGCCTCATCCCTCACAAAGATCTTGGCAGAGTCCTTCCTACGGCCCAGAAGCGCCCGCTTGGCAGTGACTTGGCCACGAAGTGTTGGCCAACTACTGTATATAAACAAGATCCTCAAGAGGTTGAGGGTCCCGGTGATATGCATCGAGTTGAAAACAGGTATGTAGCTCCGATCTTTGGGGAGTGTGGGCATATACAGAAGCCTGAAAGTTTCAATGTTGGAGGTGCAATGGCCACTGGCCCTCAATAACATGCACCAGACTTCACTGCACAACTTATTCCTTATTATATATCGCAGGCATGGAACCAGGTAGCCCTTGAATACCAAAGCACAGAGTTGCTGTATAGTTTTGAAGACATCCTCCACCTGCCAGGTGATCTGCACTGCATCTCCGTGTGTGTCGGACACAGAACACACGCTTTCCACCCTCCGAACTGGAGAGCCTTGTCTGAAGACTTCCACAAGAGTCTGCTGGAGCATCTAAATGTAGTAGCGTCCTTGCTCCCAATAGCGATGCCTTTGTTACTAGTAGTGTTCTTGTTCCTAGTAGTAAGGCCAGGAGCCCCTAGTAGCATCCTTGGTCCTAGCAGCTAAATCATGCAACATCTACCTATTGAAACCATTTTGTACCATGATACTGTGCCCATCCCTCTAGGATATACACTACTAACTCTGAATTCTGAATGACTTGTTTTTGTTCACGCCACCTATACCGACCCTGGGGATTTTAGTGTGTTTTTGCTAATAGCCACATTGGTCTCCCCAGTAGCCCTCCAAATTCATGCGCATATTTTACCACGCCTGTCACGTTTTTGGAGTGGTGTGGGCTGGGGATGGGGATCATGACGCTCGGTATTTGTTGTTAGAAGACGGATGATCTTCGTGTGATGTCTGTGTAACTTGAAGACACCGTTTGTCTAATAGGTACTAGGGTATATGAGGAAAGTGTAGTTGATGCACGTCAATGGAAGAAAGAGTGCGCGTTCCTGTTTACGGGTGGGTGCGTGATAACGCTCGATCTGCGTGTCATGTCTACGTAACTTGAAGACAGCCGGCCTCAACAGCAAGATCCCAGAGTATGTGTACTCCTTCGCGTGGCGCGGGAATACGCGTGATCACTTGCTTGAGCTCGCATGTCTGATGGCCAACACCTTTTGTTGAAAGATTGCTTTTGACCACAGGACCAATTTTCATCTTAGGATCCCACTGTAACCGGGAAACAATAGCAACTATTTCATTGTAAAGCGCAGTACTTTGAAGACGTGCCTTGAAAGTGCGAGACAGCCGAAATGCTGTAATGGTTATAGAAGCGCACATTCGTGCCATTTCGTGCCTTGCAAGAAAGTGCGCGTTTCGTGCGGGGTCCTTGCGGGTGGCGTAACCTTTTTCTTTGACTTGTAATGTGGATGTTGGATTGTACACTTGCCGAATCTGGACAAGGTCTCCCTCTGCACTTGTGGCTACGAGCGTGAGAAGAAGCAGCTGATTGAGCTAGAGCGACGGCGCGAGCGTGTGCCACTTGGCGTTTGACCATTTTAGTCCGGGGAATGAAACAATTTTTTCATAAGCAAATTCGGGATTAGGGTGTTGGAATTTGGAAGTGCTACAGTGCTACAGTAGTCGTTCAAGAGGAGGTTTCACGCAAAAATTGGTCAGTAAACGAGAGTCGTTATCCGATGTTATTACTGTATCCGAAGGAACATACAATATATACAATAAAATGAATATTGAATACGTGTTGTATAAAAATATACATATATATATATATACACATGTAAAGTGGATATGATATGAGTGGATAGAACTGAACATAGACTTTGGGTCGAGAATCCTACCTTACGTTTCTTGAAGCGTTCTTTCTTCTTTCGGATTGTGCGTGCTTTCAACGGTTCATGTTCCCGGAAGACTGGTTTGAATGTGGACCTTTGGAGATGTTCCCTTTCGGCTCCGGCATTTGAGTGGCACAACAAGTAACAAGCATTCAAATCTTTGGATGTAAAGGAAAGGACGGAGACATGATATACTAATATTTGCATAATATAATTGCATATATACATAAAGATACCAGAGGCCGAGAACTCTTTGCCCTTGTGTCTAGCCAGGCAGCACCCCAAGTCTTGGACGCCAGAAGCCGTTAGGCGCCTTGGTGTGTATTGGTGAGACGCTAAGGGATTTTGCAGGTCACGTGGGGGTCAGATTCGGGGTTTTCCGAGATTTTGACATGAAAAACGTGCAGCTGGAACATGAATGAACACTTGCTTTGAGGAGATGAGGAAGGCCTCTCATACCTTCCTCCAGCACATGTTCTTCTACACAGAACCATCACGAAAGGATCATTCGCGACAACCCTTGACCAGTTGGCACACGATAAGACAGCTGGATTTCCATCCTTTGGGTTTTCAGCAACTTCCCTATACGGAAGGTTTTGAGGCTAAATTTAGAGGATTATTAATTTCGGAGTTTGCCCCCTTTCAAGCGAGCTGCTCCCTGCCGTTGGTTTTGCAGGTCTTGGTTCGAAGTGGTGGCAGATGGCGCCTTCAGGGATGTGTTGGAGGAAATACCCAGCAACTTCACGGGACAGATGCTTGCAAGCTGGCAGCAAGTTCACTGCAAATGGATGTTGCCATTGATTGCTCCAAAGGATCAGTAGAGCTTTCCGGTGCTAATAAATATTAATAAAGGTGTAGTTTAGAACATCTCTGATCTACATGCACATTCATGCCACCTGCCCTTCTCCACATGTCAAGCACTCAGAACCTGGCTTGCACGCTGATAATTGATGCCCAGGTTCGCGTGACAGAAGCTCGCTGTGCACAGCTTTGTGGCAGCCCACAGCGAGGCCTTAGTGGGTTGGTGGAGGTGAGCTAGGGAGATCACTCCAAGTCTTGCACTTCACAACCGAACGTGGTTGAAACATGTTGAAACTGCAACGGGCATACCCTTACTCTTGGGCTGGCATTGGGACAACACGAATGTTCTTCTCCTTTTACAAGGATTCTGAACGCTGTTTAACCTGAACTACCTAGCTCTACAGCCTCAGATGTCTTGCTCTCAGATCTGGAATGCCCAACTGAACTGGCATCTTCCAAGGGGTACACCTCCCTGTTAAAAACCAGACTGTATGAGAGCTTTGCTAACGTATAAAGAGGTTCAATATTGCCCCATTTGTAAGATCATGAGTCAAGCAAAGCAGCTTCTTGCAGACATGCTGCTTGAATACCATTCCTCAGATATCGGACCAAAATGTGAAGAGAAACTACTACCGCCATGAAACCCTGTCAGGCCATGAGCTTTTTCATCTTCTTCGTGAAGAGATGAGAAAGGCCGGGTGAGTTGCGGCAGTGTATGGTTTTAAGATGTGCATTATTATCTCGGAGAGGATCGATATATAGTCCTAGGTGTGTGGCTCAGAATACCTGGAGCTCCACATCAATAGGTTCTGCTGGTTCTGCCTCCGGTCCTGCTGAAAGCAGCCCGGCATGGGGCGGGTCCTTGACCGTCGCCTCCGCTAACGGCGTCGTTTGCCCGCGGGTTTGCGCGGGCGGGCGGGCGAGCTGAACGGCGACCTGGTGGAGCAGAAGTCTCACCGGGTGGCCGAAGTTAATGGTGTGACGAAGATGATGAAGGAGATGCTTTGGAAAAAGCTTTCTATCAGCATATCATGAGATTCATGGGCAATCATGCGCAGTGTCTCCCACCACTTATTTTTTTTCTTTGTCACCTTGGCGTGATTGAGTTTGAGCGGCTTTGATGATTGAAAAGGGAAGCAAGCGCCTCCCAAATTTGTTTAAGCCCTGAGGTCAGCCTATCCACTGGGCTGCAGCCAATGGGCGGGTCAAGATGGTGTGTGGGCACTTAGATATGCCGGGTAGCGGAGGGCTCAATGGAACAAACATGGCCTGCCACTCTTGTTCTAAGGGCCAAGACGCAGAAACATAGTATGGTGGCTGTTTGAAGGTTCATCACATTGATTTTTGGCCGCCCTCTAAACGTTCACCCTGGCTAGCGGCTAGCGTCTGATCAAGAATTATTGGTATGCGCTTCTCAGCAGGCTGCCAACCGACCACTTTTCTTAATTGACCAGTTGCCCGACCTGCACAGGAACTGCTAGGCGGCAGCTGTTGTCATTGAAGGCTTCGCCCACGGAAGAAGACTTTTCTGGACTTTGGCCCAGAGCTTTGAAGGGAAGATGGCCACATACCTGGGTGACTTTAGCAGAACCTGTTTGGATTCCTCCTTGAAATCTGCGTGAACCAAATTTGCATTGAACCTGCATCCTTGCAAATGATTGGGAAGTGGTTGAACCTAGGATGACATCCGAATGGCTTCGTCAATTCATGCAAGAGCGTGCAGCAGTGTTCCTTTTGGTTCTGGCTTGGAGCGTGGAGTTCCTTGTTGCTTGGAGCACGGGCTTTCATTTGCTTGTTGCGCAGATTGGGTGGATGAGGCCGATGCACTGGGCGGCGGGCAATGGGCAGCGGCAGGCACTTATCCTGAAAGATGGCTACCGGGCCTACGGCGCGTTTGCAAACTGTGTGTTTGGTAGAAACGGTTGAAACGGTTGGTACATTATTGTACATATCGCTGGGAGGGAGTATGATCTATGGAGGCTCCCATTGTTGGTGCAAGCCACTCGCACACTTTTTGTGCAGGCTGCCGAGGAGCTTCGAGTGTTGACCTGAGAACCTGGTCCAAACTGTTAAACAACTTCCCTGTGAAGTTCTTAATGTTGACTCTTTTTTTCCGATTGTAGCGCCGGAAGAGCCACTTCACACAACCTGCCCGCACCCTTTGAGGACCTGGTTTGGCGAGCTGTGTCGAAAAGAGTGCTGGGTTGGCCGCCAAACGCGGCAGGTCAAAGCAGAGGTGGTTTCGTATACAAAGGGAGCATCTGCTTTCTCTCAAGACATGGTGATTTGGGGTGTATTATGTGTATTCTAAGCATCTCCGAACCTGACAAGTTCAGTGAGGCACCAAGCTAGGACAGGTAGAAAGGAAGTGGAACTTTGCGCAAGAACTTGCTGTGATCATATATCTCGGTTGGTTGGGACTGGCTGGATGGAAATCCACCAAGGCACTTAAGGCACTCCTACAAAAAGGGACATGTCTTCTAGAAAGATCAGGGGCTATGTACTGGGCCGAGCACTGTAGAGAGCTCAATGGCATCCTCGTGGAATTCTGTCCGATCCAACAGCCTTTTCCACATGAACATGCCCTCTGCAGGCTTTAGCTCGAGGCGAAGATGTTGATGATCTAGCAGCAGCCAGGCCCTTGGGTGCTGGTAGGGGTTTAGCAGCAGCCTAAAGCTTTGCACCTCATGAACAGCTCGTGCCTCGGGATATGTTGAAGTGCTATCAAAGAGCTGGCAGAGCATCGTGGCTGAAGCGAACCACTTGATGTTGCGCTGAGGCTGCTGGTGTGACAGTGCCTGCCGCCAGACGAGGGCCCGGGTCTCAGGGAAGCTGGGGGGGATAAGCGACCGGTTTTTATATGACTTAAACATCAAGTTTGCCCAGTTACCTTCTCACTTTGTGATGTTTTGATATGTTTTGTGTAACGACAGCTCTCCAGCCACTTCAATGTAAAGCGCATGCGCAACGACCACCACACCACCCCTTTGATCCCCGCTCCAAGCCAAGCGAACTAGGCTGGTAAGCTGCGATCAGCTGTGATCACTCAACATGTTCTTGTAAGTTCTTCAGTTTTCTTTTCAAGCGGCTGATCAATATGTGACAGTGGTTCAATCTAGGTGGCCGTGGGCTGGCACCTGAATGGAAACGTTCTGGCCATACAACAACAAAGACAAGATGGCCCTACGAACCTAGCCAAAGATCACCTTGTCTATACAATGCCTCATATTGTTGGCCCAGGCCTAAGCAGCTGGCTGAGCCGAAGGCTGGTGTGCGGTCCAAACATGGAACCTGACTTAGCTTCCTCTATATAATCATATATAAATCCAAACTGCATTGCCTCCAACCTACTAGCAATGGCCTCCAACCTAATAGCAATGGCCTCCAACCTAATAGCAATGGCCTCCAACAACAGCAGCTAATATACTTTCAAAGTTCTAAAGAGAAGGCTGTACTGAGTACAGTACTACACTGTGCGAAGATTGCCACCGCAATCTTAATCCAGCCGCCTGGTACTGAGTGCTAGGTGCTGCCGACTGAACCTGTGCGAGAGAGTCCGGGGCATAGCAGTGTACTGCAGGCAACATCAGGGTTGAAGTTATCCCGAGTTCGTGACGACTCATTTTACACGATTGGAAAACTTGTTGTCACGCCTTCACCAAGACAATAGAAGCCACAACCCCGTCAACTCAGAACCTTGGAAAAGAGCCCAGCACAACGCTCTCAGAGCATCGCTCTAACAGCGGCGTAACAGCGTGTGGTGGGGGCTTCAATTTGTCAGAGTGAGATTTTTATGACCGTGCTGCAGGCGCCTTGGGTCAAATAAACGCGAGTTTGGCACCGGAGCCTTCTTTTAGGTTTTTGCCATAGGCCGCTTCCCCCGCGGCCGTCGCTACTGGCTGCCGATCCTTGGCTGGATCAGGCCTCGGTCTCAGGCCTTTGGAGAGGACCTCTTCGAGGACTTCGACCTCCACCTCGGGAGCTGTTGGCTCCTGACCTGAGGACTGCTGTCCTCGACCTTCCAGGTCCTTGGACGAGCTCTACGACAGTGGCCCCTGGACCACTCCCTTGAGCTCATCCACCTCGAGCCCTACCGCCGCTGCGCTTCCTTGCTTCGCTTTGCTCTACAGCATCCTGTCTTTCGACCTTGACGGCTACCACGACAAGGCGATCAAGGACATCGAGGACGGATGATGCAGCCACCGTCGAACACAGGTGGTTCCATCCCGCTGCAAGAGTATCGAAGAGATGTGCCACCAGGATGGACCCCTGGAGATCCATCGTACCCCTTGAGGAGCTACTTCGAGAAGATGCGACTTTGGTACAGAGTCTCCAACGTTGAGGACGAGAGCGTCGGTCCCCTCCTGGCTGGTCGGCTCTATGGCAGGGCAGCCAAAGTGGCAATGACGCTGAAAGTGCCACGACCTGATGGCCGCTTCGACACCGGCGACGCTGCTCTAGCCAGATTGTCAGTTGAGGAGGTGCAGGACCCGACCACCGGCGCCATCATCCAGCATGCGATTCCATCAGGAGTTCAGTTTCTGGTGGATGCTTTGCGGCGAGCTTTCGGTCAGCAAGACCAGGACTTGGCCACGGAAGCACTTGAGAAGTTTTTCTCCCTGACTCGTGGCAAGCTTTCTTTAGCTGAATACGCCGTGGAGTTTGACACGCGCTTGGATGAGGCAGCAGATCGAGCTGGCCTGCAATTGAACGACGTCGCCAAGTTTTTCTTGTGGTTCAAGCACAGTGGCATGTCTGTCAAGGTGATCGATGACATCAAGCTTCAGGTTGGCGGTGACTATACCAGGTTCCAAGACGCCAGGGCTCTAGCTCTCAGGATGAGTCCGAATCGATCAGACGCAACAAATGATCCGACGGTCTTCTACGGAGATGTTAAGGACGAGAGCTATGGCGACTCCTATGTATACCATCAGGACACCTGGGATCAAGAGCAAGACATGTGGTATGGCTATGAAGATGCAGAAGAAGGCGAATGGATCTATGAGACTGACGAGAACTACTTCCAAGACTGGTCTGAGGATCCAGATGGCTGGCAGAGCTTCTATGAAGATGGTGAAGACTGGACAGCCGAAGAACCATGGTCAGTATCTCAGGATTATGAGAAGCCATCCGCCTCAGATGCATCTCCAGTCGATGCTGCAACCGAGCAGGAGTCCTTCTACAAAGGAAAAGGCAAGCCCAAAGATGGATGCTTCAACTGCGGAAGCAAGTGGCACCAAGTTCGTGACTGCCCCATGAAGTCAGAGAAGGGCAAGGGCTATGCCTACCAGAGCAAAGGCAAATATGGAAAAGGAAAGGGCTTCCGCGGCCGTTGGACCTGGCGACCCTCGTCTTGGAAAGGCAAGGGCAAGGGCAAGAGCAAGTATGGCTTCAGAGGAGGTTACAAGGGCAAAGGCAAGAAAGGCCATTGGTTTGTTGCTGAACCCTTGAGTGAGCGCACCTTGAACGTTCAGGACGGCAACATCCATGTTCTGGGCAACACACCTCGCCTGGATCAAAACCATGGTCCTCCTCATGAATCCTTTGTCATCCATTCGTCCTCTGAGGATGACATCATGAAGGTCCGACGACCATATGTTGCAGCAGTCAATGCAGAAGCCACATCAAGTGAGGAACCAGCATCGACCTCTACCTCAAGACAGCCGAAGACACTTGACACAACAACCTGGAATTTCATGTTCCTTGCTGGTGAAGCATGTTCTTACTTCCAGGTTCGCGGACAAGAAAGAAAAGGTCTCCTGATCGATCCAGGAGCAGCAAGTGGTCTTGTCGGCAGTGAAACTCTTCGCATGTTGCTGAAGGACTGTGCAGTTGGTGAGCCTCAGTTTGAGTACGACAAGAAGACACCTGTTTCAGGTATCAGTGGTACTTCATCATCCACATTGGGACAGGTGACGGTCCCTCTTCGAGTTGGCAGCTTGCCAATCACCTATACAGCGGAAGTTCTTGGAGGTGAAGGATCACTGCGTCCCGCACTGGTCGGAAACCCAACACTTCGGAAGCTCAATGCCACTATCTTTGCCAATTGGTTTGACAACGGAGATGGTCTGATGACCATGGATGGAAGGCAAGATGAAGGCATTGTCAACATCAAGTTCTTCCGACTTCTGCTCACCGAAAGTGGACACTACATCCTGCCGACTGATGATAAAGAGAAGCACAAGACGCACTATTTAGACAAGAACAAGGCTATCCTCTTCTGCCAGAAAGCAGCACTGGCAACAGCAAAGCGCTATGAGGACCTTCATCCAAGAGTGCATCACTGCTTCCTTGGCAGGACGCTTCCACAGGCACGGGCAGAAGGTGACCGGTGTGAGAATGAGAAAGAGAATGAAGCTGACAAGAAAGACATGACGAAACACATGGCACTTCATGCAGTACAAGAACGACCATGTCCACACCAAGAAGAAGACAACGAGCAGAAGATGCAAGACTCACATCATGCAGCACAAGAGCCACATGACGCAGCACAACCTTTGGCTCAGGCCGTGCGAGAAGAGAACGACAAGGTCCACCATAGCCAGGACCACAACGCAGCTGGGCTCCCCATTTTGGATAGTCAGCCCCAGACTGCGGATGACCAGTATCACACTTGCAAGCAAATTCATGAAGAAGGAAATCCCATGCCTGCAGATCTCACTCCATCCGCCATTTTGGCGAACAGCACAACGACGGATGATCGGTATGTCCAAGACGTTCTTCCTGCAGAACACGATCATCTTGATGTACTCAAGCTCAACAAGAGGTACAAAGCAATTCCAGAAGAATACTACTCCAAGTCCGGTCTCACGCCAGTGACGCCAGGCAACTTCAAAGCTTGGTTCTCAAAGACTCGTGGACGAGGTCTTCGTTGGCATGCTTGGGAACTCTGCTCAGGCTCAGGAAGATTGAGTTTGTGCCTATTGATGGCAGGACTTGGACTTGTGGTTGGCTTTCCTGTCGACTATCGCTATGGTTGGGACATCAACAATGCTCAACATCAGAGCTACCTCGACATGGCCTACCACGAGTTCCAGCCTGGTATGGTGCATGCATCGCCTGACTGTGCACCCTGGAGTATATCATCAAACTCCAGAGATCCCGAGCTCAGACATCAAGATCGCCTTCGAGACCGTCCAGGACTACACTGGCTACGTGGAGTCTTCGAGAAGCAAGACAAGCAGAATCGGGGCTACAACCTCGAGCAACCACAAACCAGTGCAATGTGGCAAGAACATCTGCCAGAGAATCCGATGAAGTTGTCGTTCATCAAGGGCAATCGGAAAAGACAGCGTGTTGACCAGTGTATGCATGGAGCTTGTGATGAGTCTAGAAATCCCATCAAGAAGTCC